ATTGGGTACGCACGTTGAGGATAGTCACTAAGTTGTGGATTTAGTGTAGATCCCACAGTAGCAACTATGGTGCTACCTTGTGTATGGCCAATAGGAATGCAAATTAACGGTAGTCATCTTTGTGGAAAGATGTAGACCAAATATTCTCATTTGTGATGTTGGGTACGCACATTGAGGATAGTCACTTAGTGTAGATCCCGCAGTAGCAACAGTGGTGCTACCTTGTGTATGGCCAACAAATAAATAGGGAACATATGCGTTATACAATTGATGAGAAAATATACATAAAATGTCGCATCCATTATTTAAGCGCGTAGTGCTTTAAAGTCAAAAAGCATAAAGGGGACTTAAATAAAATGATCGATTGCAAAAGTGATTAACGAATAAATAATTTGTAAGATCATGGTCGTAATAACAAGGATATTATTTTATTGGATTTGCCATACATACAGGGACAAATACTTTGAATAATATCATAAATGGATATTTTACAATGATAAAATATCACAAGTACAACTATAGTTAAAGTCAGTGACTAAACATAAGAGTACTTAATTTTACAGCACATAATTATAAGAGACTAACAGAGTCTTATACGAATTAATGCTGAAAATATTAAATAAAATAGACACTAAGTCTGCTGGATCGATTGGAACTGGAAACAAAGCCAACATCGGATTCAGGCCCTGAAAGGCCCAAGTAGGCAAGCACAAGGGAGTGGAGGGAGGGGCAGGGCACCAGCCTTGGGCCACCGGCCCATTTGCACAGGCCATTAAAGGCATGGTCAGGCGGGCAGTTAGGGTTACCTGCAGCCACAGAGCCTAGGAACCGCCGCCGTCGCTTGATTGGAGAGCACCGCCGCCGCAAAATCTCCGCGTCGCTCCTCTCCTTAGTGCCGCCTGTGCTCGCCATCTTCAGGTCGAGGAAGACTCCCCCTCGCCGGGAGAGTAGAAGCCGCTGCCACCGACGGCCATGTTCAGCACCTCCGCGCTTGGGAGGCCGAGATCCGCCGGATTCCAGGCGCTGGTGTGACAGAGGTCGGGGCGCCTGTCCACTGCCGTCGTCTTGCGGCCGAGGAGGCACCGTAGCATCGGGGTCGACAGCGTCTCGGCCGGAGGAGGACCCAGGAGGGCCTTCGCCTTCATGCGGACAGCGGCTTCCGCGTGAGTCGCGGGCGGAAAAGCCGGTGTCGGGGTCACCTTCGGAGGAGGAGCCGAGGGGTCGGCCACGTCGAGGAAGGTCTACGGCGGGACGCCGGTCCTGGCCGCGCTCGTGCCGCTGGGGTTGAAGAGGTTGCCGGCGCCGGGGGCAGCCACCATGTCCTCGTCCTCGGTCTTCACTTACTGGAGCATCGGCGCGGCGACGGTGTTGAAGATCCAAGGATTGAGGACGCCGCCGGGCATGCCACTGTCGGCCGCCACTTGAGTCAGATCGACCGGTGTGGGCGATGGTGAAAGCTCTAGTTTGGTTTTAGTGAATTGATGAAACCCTAACTGCTAACCTAGTTTATCAAGTGATCATGAGATAGGTAGCACATTCCAAGTTGTGAAGCAAATGAAGATCATGACATGATGACGGTGATGTCATGGTGATGATCAAGTGCTTGGACTTGAAAAGAAGAAAGAGAAAAACAAAAGGCTCAAGACAAAGGTATAAATTGTAGGAGCCATTTTTATTTTAGTGATCAAGACACTTAGAGAGTGTGATCACATTTACATTTGATAGCCGTACTATTAAGATGGGTGAAACTCGTATCGAAATGCGGTTATCAAAGTGCCACTAGATGCTCTAACTCATTGCATATGCATTTAGAATCTAGTGGAGTGCTAACACCCTTGAAAATGTTTGTGAAAATATGCTAACACATGTGCACAAGGTGATACACTTGGTGGTTGGCACATTTGAGTAAGGGTAGGGAACTTCACCGGCGCCCTAGACAGAAAAGACGGAGGTCACTGTAAGTGACCATACGCTGGTCTCAGTTGGACCGGTGCGTCCGATTAGTGGCAGCAGAGGGCGTGCGTTTTGGTCTCATGACCGGATGCTGGGTCGCTCAGCGACCGGACGCTGACAGGCTGTGTCCGGTCATGTTGACGTGGCAGCACAGAGGAAGACACCGTGTGACCGGACGCTGGCTGTGTCCGGTCAAGCATGACCGGACGCGTCCGATCGAGAAAAATCATTTCTGGAAGCTTACTGGAAACGACCGGACGCTGGGGGTTCAGCGTCTGGTCACTGTTAACTGCTACGTCTGATCATCTTCTGACCGTTAAGATCGGGTGCACAGCATTTGAAGAGAGGGACACGTGGCATGCATCGCGTGACCGGACGATGAGGTCCAGCGTCCGGTCGATCTGACCGGTGCGTCCGGTCGGCCCATGTTCTATGCAGTGAGGAGCCCAACGGCTCTATTTCGTGGAGGCTTCTATTTAAGCCCCATGGCCGGCTCAAGCTCACTCTCTTGGCCATTTGCATTGACATAGCAACCTTCTGAGCTTAGCCAAAGCCCTCCCACTCATCTCCATCATTGATTCATCATCTTTGTGAGATTAGGAGAGAATCCAAGTGTATTGTTTGAGTGTTTGCATCTAGAGGCACTTGGTGTTCGTGTTTCGCTGCGGGATTCGCTTGTTACTTTTGGTGGTTGCCGCCACCTAGACGGCTTGGAGCAGCGAGGATCGTCGGGCGGAGGTTGGTGATTGTCTCCGACTCCGATCGTGGTGATTGTGAGGGGTTCTTGACCTTTCCCCGGCGAAGAGCCAAAAGGTACTCTAATGGATTGCTCGTGGCTTGTGTGATCCTCATCTTGTGTTGGTTGTGTGGCACCCTATTGAGGGTTTGGCGTGTGATGTCAATTAGCGCGTGAACCTCAAAGTGAGTGAATCGCCACAACGAGGACTAGCTTGCCGGCAAGCAAGTGAACCTCGGTAAAAAATCGTTGTGTCATCATTTGATTCCGAGGTTATTGGTCTTCATTGTTATTCATTCTTGTGATTGATTGACTCCTTCCTTGACACGGCGGTATAATCTTCTTGCTCACTCTCTCTACATTACTGCAAACTAGTTGTCAAGCTCTTTAGTGTAGCTAGTTGTGAGAGCTTGTTAGTTTGGTTAGTGTGGCTCTTTAGTTAGCATTTGAGAGCACACTAACTTAGTGTAGTGACATAGTCATTGTGCGGATAGAAAATAAATAAACTAGAATTGTGGTAGGTGGCTTGCAATTTTAGTAGGCTAGCGCAACACTGCTTCGCCTCATATTTGTCTAACCGGTTTGTTAAGTGTTGTTGTAGAAATTTTTAATAGGCTATTCACCCCCCCTCTAGCCATTAGGACCTTTCAGATGGCAGCGTGTAGTTGTACTCCAGCGTGTGTGGCATCAGCGTGTACTCCTTGCAAAAGTCACACCAGTAGCGAGGCGGTGCTGGTGCTGGCGACATCGGCTCCATGGGGACGTACGCGGGTATAGCGACGGGCTCAGCAACCACTTCATCAACGGGCGGCGCCACGGCTTCAGCAACTGGTGGCGCCGGGGCTTCATCGACTGGTGGCGCCGGGGCTTCATCGACTGGTGGCACCGGGCTTCAACCGCTTGAGGCGCAGCGTTGCTGGGGCCGGCACCGTCCAAGCCAAGACGAGGAGATGGTGGTTGGCTCTGCAGACGAAGACCGCGCGGAGGAGAAGCATGGCGCCCACGAACAGGAGTCCATCGGCGGCGAGGAACTGCATTGGAACGGAAGCCACGAACAGCAGAGTCAAAGAGGCGGCCGAAAGGACCATGGCCATGACCATGGGCAATGTTGCGGCGAACACGAGGCCCAAGGCGCTCGAAGACGCTGCAGCGTTGTCCATGATGGCCGTGGTGGCGGATCAGGCCACGGCGAACTCCACCGACGCGGCGAAGTGCGAAGAGCAAGCCACGAACAAGATGTGAAGGTAAGTTGATCTTCGTCATGCTTACCGGTGATGGTTCAGAGGCCCTCAGCGTTCTCGTTCTCTTTGTCCAGAAGAGCAAAAGTACTGATAACGTGTTAAAAGTGAATGGAATGAACAAGATTTTGGAAACAACTAACTGTTTCATTGATCTCTTTGGATTATATACGAATGAAGGGTCACATTGTACGGACGTCGTACGGACGTGACTGTTCAAAAAATTTAACTACTAATCTAATCTCTAATCCTAACTTCTTGTACGGACGGATGAGATCATCTATAGAAGGACATCTGTTGGTGTACTAGCGCCATTTCACAAGAAGGACATCACAACAATTGCTCTGAACAAAGAGAACACAAATCTTCTAGTTTCTACTGCTTGTATTCTTTTATAAAAATATCTTTACTACAAACGAGACATTTAAATTTGTTGCTTGGATTCTTTTATAACAATATCTTTACGTCATATGTTCTACGTAGCTAGCCGTCAGCCAGTCAGATGTGTTATTCTAGCATTTGAATTTTATCGGTGTCATTTTCGCTTTTTAATGCATCTTTAAATTCTTCCCAAGTCCCAATACGTCTCTCTCTTCTACTCATTTCCTGTGCATCCCAACTTTTTTTACCTCTCCTTAATTCCCGTGACCAGAAAGCCGCAATTAACGTGGAACAGAGGGAGTACCAAGTATGCAGCGCAAGCTCGCACGATACAAGACGTATCACATCAACCAATCAGATGCCAGACCCGTCAACCTCTCTGCACTAGTAGTAACCGTGAGAAAAAAATCGTTCGCTTGAACTCGTACAAATCAACCAATCAGAGGCATATAGACTATGGACGACATCAGAAATCTCAAAACTCGGCTTGCTATGGCTGAACCTCAGGTTCGGTCGCAAACATCCTGGGATTAAGTGCTTGAAGCATCACTAATAACTGTGTATTGCTATCCTAAAGTCTCTGCGTCTCTGGAACATTGCAAGATTAACTTTTGGGATTTTTCTACAGTGCATCAAGGATATCAACAAATGCAGTGCAAATGAGATGTCGTATGGTTGCAATGGGGAAGCTTCTATTGCGTCCTCCTGATCTTTGAAAATGTGCCGGTCTCAGAAAAGTAAGTACTTTGAGTTCCGCCTCCAAGAAGGTTTCCTTGGGCCTGTGGATTTGACAGCTCTATTCCCTGCATTGCATAAGGGAAAATGAACATCAGACGAGAAATAATCCTATACCAGCATGGAACTTTTGTTAAATTAATGTTAGAAATTAAACAAAAGTGGGCTACCAAATGTGAATAAATATGTTAAAATGCACCCAAACATAGTGTGACCTAGCGATTAACCTTAGGAGAAAATGCTCAAATAAAGTCATGCTACATAATATGGAGCCTATAAGATTACACAGCGCCTGACTTCGAATAAAAGGGAACATGCAAGCTATTCAGCATATTACAGTTAAATGACAGGTTAATTAGAGACTTCAAGGTATAAACTGGCATAGGAGCTATCCAGTAGTGAACCAAGATGGAACATGAAAAATGTTGCCCTATCTTTTCAGCGTATCCTAAAACATGGGCAAATTAAACAGACCCTCAACAAGACATGCAGCCAACTCAAGAAACAAGTCTCACCTGAACTGGTGTAAATGCCAAACTGGATGTTAATCCTGAAGTTGCACCACTGCTACCATAGCTCTTCTCCTTGAATCTGATATCAAAAGGCAGTATACAATCAACGTGAGGTTACAGGCATAGGACATTGTGAAAGACAAATATTACAAATACAAGCAACATTGTGCAGTTAAGTAATACATTTACGAGAACACACAATGATAAGCACTACTAGGATAATGGAACTGATTTATGGTAACTGTACCTGATACACAACACAAATGCAGTATTTTGCCTAAACGTGTGTAAAGAACCAATTGACGATTAGGATGGCATGATGCAATACATTGAAATATCAAACTTTGTGAATCAGACTATAACATGTAGAAATCTATTTATGCTATTCTTATTGTGTCCCATCGTATAATGCAATGGAGGACACCTGACATCAAGCATGTTAAGCTAATTTTTGCCTTGCAAACTTAAAACAGAAAATTGGAAAGAATGTTTTGCACTAGACTCCATCTCAAGTAGGTGCTGTGAAAACGGTACCCAAATATTATACTGGAGAAAGAACAAATATAACATACTTTTTGGCCACTTTAGCAGCAAGTTTGTTTTGTCCAGCTGAGACACGTAGCTTGCCACTCCCTGCCTGTCCAAGCATGCCATAACCTTCCCCAAGCCATCACCTGATGATAGCAAAATGTCATTGTGTCACAAGGGTAATTGTTCTCCAGTATAAGGCATGCAGAAATTCAAATTCAAATTATACCAGACAGCATAAAATACGTCATAGCATACTGACCTAGTGAGCTCTCCTCTGAATTCCAAACTGCATTGATTTGCAAGCTTCATCATATCAGTCTCGCATATCTGCAGAGGCAAGTTCACATGGAAAAATAACAATTGAGTAAATAAAAAATTAATCACAACAATTGTTCAGCACATATTTCTGTTCCGGGAAGCTTAGGCTATAGCTTACCTTTCTTTCATTTTTCAAGACGACGACCCCTCTCTTCTTTTTAGGCTCAGAGTCCGGAACTGGAAGTGGCTTTGGAAGCTTGGCAGGAGGCGGTTCTTGCCACTTCTCGATCTTCTTACTTAATTTCTTCTAGCAGGTTCCGTCCAGCTTTTCCAGTTGGATCACCTCTAATTGAATCAATCCTTGCCGCCAGAGTTGATTTTGCAGCAATAAGTCTACAGGCACGAGTCCTTAAAGCTGGAGGGGTGCTCTGAAATACTTCAGTTTGTTCAAGATAGCCAACACGAAACTGAGAAGTGGCGGTAGAAAATCCAGCAAGATTTTTCCTCTTTGCACCAAGTAACTGAACATTACAAGCAGGCATTTTTGCAAGTGCTCCCAGACCACCTGCAGTACCCATCAGTTTGGAGGCAACAGCACTGCCAACAATTGCAGAAAGGTTTGGTGCAATGTACCCCATTCTGCTCTCTACAAAATCAAGCACTTTCTTCTTTGCCGCATCAAGGGTAAGGGCTCTGTCACATGCTTCAATGGTTTTCTCCAAATTGTCTTCAGAAAGAGGCTTCCCACTTGTTGTTGATGCTGTCACTGAGACAACCATTATAATTGCAGAAGGTAAAAGCCCTTCCAGATCTACAAGTGTTAAATCCATCTCATTTCCAATCTTCTTGACAACACGGGCATAATCGATTGGGTGATGAACAAGGGACTCCAGTTCAGGAAACTTCAACCTATACTTGTCCCGTATGAAATTATGGATTATGATTATTTCATTCTCAATATCTACTGATAAAGCATTGCAGTCAACAATAAGCTGGTACTCTGGATCCTCCTCCAGGATGAAACCTTGATTAGAGAAGTCAGTGCCTTTCTGAAGTGCATCTTCAACTTTCTGCAAACAAACAATAAAGATGTTGAATGTCAAAGATACTAACAGTATCATATTTTTAGAACAAACCAGTGTGGCATTGAGTATAATCACAGATATTTATTCTCACTTAAAGACACATGCATCAATGCTTGGATAAGATATACCACCCTTGGTGGCAAATTATAGGTTGTTTTAGCTTTTCTAGATACATAGCTTTTGCTATACATCTAGATATACGATATGTCTAGATACATAATAAAAGTGGTGTATCTAGAAAAGCCAAAACGACCTATAAATTGGAACGGAGGGAGTATGCTAAAGATGTAAAAATTGTACAACCTAAGATAAATGTTCATTTTCCCTAGTGCAAAGCCTTGTTCAACCTAATATCATTGTTCATTTTCCCTACAACCACATTAATGCAGATTCTACTTCCACAATAACTAATGAAAGCCAAATTTATATAAAATACCAAGAATGCTCAAGAAATTGGGGGCAGGTTTCATTACATACTTGCATTATATCATTATAGCGTTGTGTCTTTTGCAACTTTGAGACACTATCAAGTTCATCATAATTAAGAGACTCAAGGTCAGGCATGTCATCATCATCTTCTTCTCTACCCGCTTCCTCAGCATTGTCTTCTTCCTGAAAAATTTTACAGCAGGTCAGCAAAAACCCTGGTAAACCCCCTTAAAAATACAGTTACATGAAATAGAAACTAACTCACAGGATAGCCTTCATTGTCTGACAGTTCATCCAGATCCGCTAGAAAAGAATCAGCAAGGTTTGCCTGTAAAGTGGCACCATATGAGGAAAAAAATGAAATGGCAATGGAATAGGTGTTAACTTGGCATAAGATACTCAACAGGAGAGGAGATGACCTCACCATGATATCGGTGTAAGTTGTTCCAACAGCAGATAGAACTCCAAAACTAGGTTTAACAAGATGAGTTCAGTGTTGCTTCTGGTATCTATGTCCTTCACCTTCTTTATTGAATGGGACAGTCAGCTCACCCTAATATGTAACAGCAGGTTAGGGCGTATCAGCTATTGTAATAAGGTACAGCGCTAGTAAAGTAGGAGAATCACTGTAGAATAGGCCACTATGAAGGTTAGAACAAACGAAACGAAAATCTGCTAGTGAACTCTAGTACTCATAATGCATGTATCGAATCAAAAAATCTATAGAATAGAAGTATATAGCAATTCAATCAAAACTTTATAATAAAGTATCGAATCAAACCCAGTGGGGTAATCTTTGCAAAAAAACGAACAATACATGTATACACTAATTTTTAGATCAGATCGGAATACGAATAGCCAAATAGCTTACGTTAGGGTTTGGGAAAAGTAGCGGACCCAGTAAAGGGACATGGATGTACACATGTACACCCGATAATTTTGCAAAAAAAAAAAAGTTCGAATCCAGTAGTTATCAAATAGCCAAATAGAAAGTTAGGGTTTGGGTGCTCGGTTTTGCACAACAGGAGAGAAGGGATGAGAGTACCTGGTGGTGCCCGTCGCCGGCGAAGAGACCAACGAAGTCCTCGGCACCTGGCGAAAGGCGGCGGCGGGCAGCGGCGGTGGCGGAGGTTGTAGCACACCCAGCCGTCGCGCAGACGTGGGGAGAGAGAGCACACGCCGGCACGCGAGGTGAAACGACGGATGCGGGCATGCGGCGGACGGCGGTACCAGTCCGGGGTTTGTTCGGCCCAGCGGGGAGCGAACCGACACGGGCCTTCTCCTGGGCCGTTTTGTCACGCGTTTCTTTTGCATTTTTTCTTTTTTCTTTCTTTCTCTCTTCCTATAATTTTAGAGATTTATTACTCCTTTGTAGTCACATGAGATTTCGCATTTCCATCGGTCACCCGCCTCTCGTGCCCACCCCACCCCTTCTTCCCCAACTTGGCGGACTTAGAAGAGAAGGGGTTTGGAAGAGGAAGGCCGGTCAAGTGGTGGGGACGATGGCGGAGCGCATTAGGGGCCCTAGCGGTGGGAGGAGGACCGGGGGCAGTCGGCGGGCGTCAGCGGTAGTGCTCGCACGCCGGTGAGCTTGCCTTGCATTTAGGAGAGGGCGGGGTCAAGGGCGGGGGCAGGGCAGGCCGAGGAGGAGACAACTCTGGCGCAGAGCGGCGAAAGGAAGAAAAACTAGGTAGGAGGAAGAAGAAAGCACACCATTCGTTGGATCTTGATCCAACAGTTCAGGATGTTGACTGACGCTTAAACAGATCCTCGGTCACCTGAGCCCGACACACACCCTAATTTGTATTAGGTGAAAACCTTGTGCGTTGTTGTAGGATTTATAGGGATATTATTTGAGTGGTGATGCTCTCATGATATTAGGATGATGGGAGCAAAGCATCCTGGGACGATGTGATTATAGAAACACGTGAATATGCAAGTTGAGATAATAATAGCATACAATTGCTTAATCCTATCATGCTAAATGCAAGAGGCATTTAGGTAAAAAAACTCATCACACAACCACGGAAATTCCATGTATGAAAATAAATATACAAATCATATAGGGACATGTATTCCTCGCAAAGTGGTAACTGAGATGATATTTCTCTTGACGAACAGAGTAAGGAACTGTGCATGAGAGTTTTTTTTTAGAAGTAAGAGAGCAAAATATTGAGAAGTTAAAATGTGTACGACAGCAAAAGTTCATATATACAGCACGTACGTAAAGACTCTAGGGCTATTCAATCCTTGCTGATATTTTTTTAAGAAAGGACAGCAAAAAAGTTTTACCGCTGATTTCAATTAGACGAAAAAAGGCAAGTGTCAACCTAGTTTTTTCAATGAAAACTAAGCCAGAAAAACCATATAACCGAGAAAAGAATCCCACTCATCCTGCACAACTTTACAGCTGTCACAACTCACTCCATTACTTGCAATTTGATCGAATCGACCCAACTAATAACAACTACCAAACTAACAACAACTTGGTCAAGAAAAAAGACCCAACTAAGACACCTCAACTAGAAAAGACGATGGAGCACCGAGCACCACCACCCTTAGAGAAGCACCGTGGCACATGGTAAGAGATCAACGGCGAAAACTAGATAGCCTAGCGTAGCCTTCAAGAAGGAAACGACGCCAAAAAACGTCGACAAGCTAGCCCGACGAGGGAAGGTTTTCACCTACAAAATCTAGCCACGGTGGGAGGAGGTAGAAAAAAGACGCCTTCAAGAAGGCAAACGGCGTCCCACGAGACGTCGCCGTCTGAGCTTCGCCTTGACCTCATACAACCTCCATATCGCCGCCGCTAGAGACCCAAACCTACGAGGTAGGATGCGTCGAGAGGTCAGCATCAGCCCCGCCTGGCCACCGCCACAAGGAACGTCGGTCAGGAGAAGCGCCGGGAGAAGCCCGACGAAGAGTCCGCCCCTCACCGGAACCGGCAAAACCGGCCATCAACAGTAGCTCGACCAACTCCGACATTGTGGAACAACCCAAGCAAAGGGAAGGCGGTGGTGGGGAGAAGAGGGCCGAGATCAAAAGAAGTCCCTAGTCACCCACTCACCAACGTCCCAACCTCTGCCAAGCCTACCCGCATCAATCCACGCCACGCAAGGACTCCAACAGACCTCGCACCGATTTGCCGTCCGTCGCACGCTGCCCCAGACCTCCACGGAGGCCGAGCACCGTAGCCTGTAGAAGTCTGAGAGCGAGTGCAAAGATGCCAAGACGCACGGCAGCCAGCCCACCAAGCCGCATAGCACACCACGGTATCCGCCACCACCACACAAGACGCGACGCCACCGTGGCCTGTCCACTAGCGTCGTTATTACGCAAGACGCAGCCAGCCGCCGCACCCGCACCACCACCGAGCCACCATCGGAGGTCTACACCGGCGCGAGCCGACCCAGACCCGGGTCCGTCATGCAGCAGACACACCGCTGCGTGAGCCACAGCCACCACCAGTAGTAGCCCCACCATCACGGGCGCGAGCCGACCTGAACCCAGATCCGAGCACGGGGCGACGGATTCGCCAAGAGGACCCAGCGCACTGGTCGGGTGAAAGGTCCCAATGGCTAGAGGGGGGTAAATAGCCTATAAAAATTTCTACAACAACACTACACAAAGCGGTTAGACAAATATGAGACGAAGCGAATTTTGCGCTAGCCTATTAAGAATGCAAGCCACCTACCATATTTCTAGTTGCTATTGTCTATAAGCACTCAAAGGCTATATCACTATACTAAATTAGTGAGCTCTCAAAGACTAACTAAAGAGCCTCACTAACCACTAGACACGACCCTTGCTTGCCCTTAAAACTAGCTACACTAAAGGGCCAAGCTACACTAAGAAATGTAAATGCGTGGGAAGGATGGAGTGTTATACCGCCATGTAGAGGAATGAGCAAATCACCAAAGGAGCCAATCAATCATAAGAATGAATACCAATGAAGACCAATCACCTTGGAATCAAATGATGACACAATGATTTTTTTATCGAGGTTCACTTGTTTGCCGGTAAGCTAGTCCTTGTTGTAGCGATTCACTCACTTGAAGGTTCACGCGTTAATTGGCATCACACGCCAAACCCTCAATAGGGTGCAGCACAACCAACACAAGATGAGAATCACACAAGCCACGCGCAATCCACTAGAGTTGCCTTTCGTGATCTCCCACGGGAAAGGCACAAGAACCCCTCACAATGTCGATAATTGGAGCCGGCAACAATCATCAATAGCCACTCAATGATCCACCAATCACCGGGCCGTCTAGGTGTCGGCAAACACCAAAAGTAACAAGAACTCCACCAGCCCAAATCACTCAACTAATGCCACAAAATGCTAGAACACTAAGCAATGCATTAGAGGCTCTTCAATCTCACTCAAGATGACGAAATCAAGTGTGCAAGTGAGTGGAGTGGTGTGCTTAGCTCTCAAAGAGTGTATGCAGCTATTAGAAGTGCCAAGAGAGTGGCCAAGCCGGCCACTAGCTCTATTTATAAGCCCACAAGCAAATAGAGCCGTTACCCCTTTGGAACGACTTTTCTGCTGAGAGACCACTGACAAGGAGGTGCCTAACATCGGACATGGCGGTGCCCCTCCCAATGGTCACTTTCAATGACTAAAAACTAGCCAGTTGGGGCATCAGACAGGTGGCGGTGGCACCACCCTAGGGTGGCGGTGACCACCCGCCCAATCACTCGAGAGACCAAGTCTCTGGAGAAAGAGGTGGTGCACCGCTTCTCGTGGCGGCGGTGCTCATGGCGGTGACCTCCTATTTTCCTCTCGCTCTCTAGATTTGTATGGCGGTGCCACCGGACACCCATGGCGGTGCTGAGGCGGTGCACACCCGGTCACTCCGGTGGCCGCCTCACTCTTCCTCTTCTCTGCCGGGTCCAGGTGGGCACCGCCAGGTGGCGATGCCCCATCAGTGCACCCCACTCTCGGCCTCCTCTCGCCGATCACCACCACAGGGGTGGCGGTGCCTTTGAACATGGCATGGTGGTGCCCCCCCATGGCAGCACCCCAAGCCCGCAATACCTCCTTTTCTTCATCTTTCTCACCACCTTTGCAAATGTGCTAACACTCCAAGTGTTTCACCATCACGTGCAGTGTGTTAGCATTTTCACAATCATTTTTCAAAGGTTAATCACTTTCTCACCGAATATGCACTAGGCCAAAAATGCACATGCAAGTTTTCCAACACCTAGTGGCACTAGATGATTGAGTTGTCCGATAAGAGCTCCCCTCTTAATAGTATGACCATCTTTCTTAAATGTGATCACACTTGTTAAGTGTCCCGATCACCAAACCAAAAAGCTCCTATTAAGTTTCACCTTTGTCTTGAGCTTTTTATTTTTTTCGTTCTTCTTTTTCAAGTCTAAGCACTTGATCATCATGTCCACACCATCATCATGATCTTCACC